GACGTTGGGGTTTATAGACCACTGAATTCCGTTTCAGGGGCTGAATGTTGATGTGCTAGGCTTGTAATCGAAATTTTCTGTGTTTCATCCCTTGTTTTCTGTCATTAACGCGTTCTGTCTTAGAGATTTATAGTAAAATATTCTATCTGACACTTTAAATTAGGAAGTTAGGGCACTCGAGAATAACTCAACTCGTCTTCTTACAGTTTTTGTCAACTCGTTCATCTTACCTATTCTCCTTTACTTTTCACCCTTATTCTTCACTGGGATGCTTAAAAAAGACTATGTCATACTTCGTAGAACTCTGTAGACTGCTAGTCAGTAGGGCAAGTGATGTCCGTTTGGATCATATCGTCGATATCGTCATTGACAGACACTTGATTCCATGCAATAAATTTGCTAAAGGGATTCTGCCAGACTATGAGCTATTAATTTACGAGATTTTCGAGGTTATTTAACTTCCAACAAAAATTTTGTCACTGTCTGATATCAGTTAAGGATCAGTCAAAAACCACAAAGTTTTGCACAACCATTACACCCTAGTTTCACAATACTCTGACATAAACCTACTGTTATTATATAACATATTACGCAGGATGTTAAAGGTTGTCAGCAGGGTAAGCAACGTGCCACTTAACCAGCTTGTTAATACTCTGGTCGACAGGAACATGGACTCATGTGAAAAATGGGCCAAATCCATTTTATCTAACTCACACCACCCTCTTCACTCACAACTCTCCCCTTGCATCTCATCAGGCAAAACCAGAAGCCTATATAGAAAACTATATGCTCGCACCAGCAAGTACAAAAACTCAACCATACCCTACTTAGCTCGTGTTCTGTGTGATAAAGAAAGCATTAGGCGTGACACCTATAACTTATTAAATAGTCAGTAGAACAACTGGATCTCGTCTTTCCAACTCATATCATTTATAGGTACAACGTTTTCTTTCTTTCTTTTCCTTTTCTCTCTCTTTTTCTTTTTTCCTGTTATGTGCTGCTTTGTTTCTTTCTTCCACTTACGCCAGTAAATATGACAGCACCTACTTTTCTAACACCTTCAAACACTGTTCAGCTTTACCTTTGCTACCGACATGGGAATGTGTTGTTGTAATAATGAACTGAGATTTCCTTAATCTATGTAGAATTCTATTTATTGATAATGTACTAACTGGATGCAATACTGTAGTAAAAATGCTGAGAATTCCATTCTGTATCACAAGTACTGTTTTGGAATAAAGCAAATTATTATTATTATTACTATTGGTATTATTTTCATTTTATACTTTGCACATTTCTGACACTATCCCCAAATGTAAATGTGGGAGAGTCCCTGTGGTTAATTTTATTTATATTTTGCAGAAATTAGATGCAATACTATGATAAATGCTGAAAATTCCAAGCTGTATTATAAGTGCTATTTTTGGAATAAAGCAGATTAGTAATACTGTTTATTATTAATTCCAAACTGCGGTTCACCAGCTATCCATCACCTTCTGGTATTCAACGCTACAATCAATTGAATTCTTGCAGAACACAAACATTTTATCATATTCACCTGCATGCCGTTTATTGACATTTTAAGTGACTAAAGAATGCATATCATAGTATATACACTGAGGTGAATGAATGCAGCTCAAATCAATTCATTAACTTAATTACCTGAGTACTGCTCAACTTCAACAATAAACCTATACTTCCTACAACACATCTGAGAGAAAATAAAGTACACCAGTGGTAACAACAAAATCCAAGTGTGCTATCATATTGATTTTGTTTTCACAGTGAAGGAACCACACCAACTCTGTCAAGGTCAATCATAAGATCATACTATCTCTACGTGATAAGCATAACTTTAAATATTTAGACTCTAAAATCACCTAAACCTCAGTGATCATTATTGATATTTTAAGATAACTTTTATAGGTGAAATTACATAATTACAAATAAATTCTTAAAAAGAAATGACTAAATTAAGACTGTGAAATTAATGTAAGTGTAGAACTTGGGCTCACTGCAGTGGTAGAATGTAATTCCAGATTAGATAAGGTTATTTTAAATGTAACGCACAGTGATGCAGCACAATGTGAAGTATGCTGATGATTTAACTGTTTCAATGGCTGTTAACTTCCAGCCAGATTGTACCAAAATAAATAGCTTTCTGTCGGGAGTCAGTAAATGGTCTGAGTCTAACGGTCTTAAACTGAATCCTTCTAAATGTCAAACTGTTAATTTCAGCTTAAGATGTAAACGACAGTTAAAAGAAGCCATCGATTCTCATGACAGTTGTAAGATTGATAACAATGATGTAGGAATTAAATCAGAAATTAAGTATCTTGGACTTATTCTCTCTTCTGATCTCTCCTGGTCTTCCCATGTCTCAGCGATCTCCAGTAAAATATTCCGCCTGACATTTTACATTAAGAAGTTAAGGCACTCGGGTATAACTCAACCCCTCCTCTTACAGTTCATAAACTCTTGCATCCTACCTATTCTTCTTTATTGTTCACCCTTATTCTTTCCTGGTTTGCTTAAAAAGGACTATGTCACAATTCGTAGAATGCTGAAGACTGTCAGTGAGGGTGAGTGGTGTCCCAGTGGACTACATAGTTAACGTCGTTGTCGATAGGCACTTGACTTCGTGCAGTAAATTTGCTAAAGGGATTTTGTCTGACTTGGAGCATCCACTTCACCCTCAGCTTTCACCTTGCATCTCCTCAGGTAGAACAAGAAGTAACTTCAGAAAACTGTATGCTCGCACGTCTAAGTATAAAAATTCTATGATACCATACTTGGCACGTATTTTATGTGATGAAAATAGTGTCAGGCAAGAATTGACTAACCTTTTTTCATCTAGTAAATAAACAATCTCCTCCATCCATCCTTATATACCTTCAAGTTTTACTTTTATTATTTCTATTATATTTATGGTCCTGTTGATTCTTTGTTTTTACTTTCATAACTGCAAACACCAACTTATCTCTATGACTGCTGTAATCTTTGTTTTTCCCCTCACCATATCATGTAAAGAGAACATTATATTCAATATTTTTAAACATGCTAGGATTTCTATACCGCATCGACAATACTGTGTGAAACAAGCCCACGGCAATTTTCACTTCTATTATTATATTATTACCTTAGCTGTTATCATTATTATTATTATTTCCATTTTATATGCTGCATATTTTTTTGACATTACCCCTATTGTAAATGTGGAAAAACTTTCTGTGTGATTAATTTTATTTATAATTTGAGGAAATTAGATGCAATATTGTGATTAATGCTGAAAATTCCATTCTGTATCACAAGTACTGTTTTTGGAATAAAGTAAATCATTATTATTATTATGTATTGCTCATAATCGTGTCACGTTTAAGCGGAAAATAAATACTTGGATACAATACCAAAGAGTTACGCAACAAAGACAACTGGTGGATAAGTTGATGAGTAACTAATAAGTTCCTTAAAAGTGTAGTGAAATCAACCCAAATCATAGAATCAAGAGACAAATGAAGTTACATCATAATGCAGGGGTACAAGTTAATGCGAAATATTACATAATCTAATGAAGAAAAGGGTGAAAACATTCAGTTACCAAAGTAGACTACAGATAAACTACTCAGAATTTTTTCTGGGAGGCCGTCATACAATTTCTCCGTTCTACAAGTGACTTTTTCTGGTTTTTAGTATACTGCAACCACCTCTTCTGGAGAGATGGCTGGTAAACCCCATGGTGAATTCTTAAACCACACTTTTAATCAAAATCAATACCAAAAGTTATTATCTAGAAAGACATGAAAACCTTTTCAACTAAATTAACCAGCTCAAAGAACACAAGGACATGGATTGCATCCGCCTGTCCGTCGGTGGTACAGCGGTTAGGACTCTCGCCGACCATGCACATGGTCCGGGGTTCGATCCCCTGCCGGCGCAAACCCGATATCAATGGTCGGCCTGCTAAATTTGGGCTACCGATATCCATGCTGGAAATTCCATACTTGTACCAAAAATACTGTGTGGTTTCAAGGTATAATCAAAAAAAAAATAAATTTGCTCCATCATATATGATTAGCTCGCCTAAGCGAATTAATTTCTACAAGCTTATTTAGTAATTATAAAAAATAATTGACTAAAAGTATTATAGTTTCTTATCTTAGGTGCTAGAATACAATTTCTTTAAATCACCCAAGTTTCGCTCCCAACGACCCTCATCAGCAGCGCCTGTGTACATTAATCAGTGTTCTAGTGACTCATTTCAACTCCAGACTATATAAATAGTCATAAAATAACTTTAGCGGATTATTTACTGTGAAAAAAACTGATACTTCTTATGAACGTCTAATGATGAAGGGAGTACTTCAGCCAAGTTTTGAATGTAACCATTAAGCCAACTAGCATGTTACCTGAAGTACTATCAGTACTGGTTATTAAATCTCTACAGTCATATTAAGAATTACACACGATAGAGAATAAGCTTTACAGAACTCACCAAAATAGCTGTGAAAAGTAAAACAATAAAAATTAACTAGTTCACTCTATATGAATAGTACTCAAACTAGCCGTTTGTTGAAAAACCCAACAGTCATTTCTCTATCTCTCTCTCTCTTCACAAACACAGCGTAGCCAATGAATTTTCTTACACTGTAACTATAAAATTTCTTATCTAAAAAGTAGAGAATATTAACCCTGGATAATTTCAAGTAATAAATCAAATTTTTCAAAACACAATAGTTGGAGGATATCACGTAATAATTTACTCTCGACCAAGATAAAATCAAGAGGTCTGTTTAAAACAAATTATTTAGCAATTTTTTCATAAAATTATTAGTCAGCAATTTTTATAGTCATCGCCTATTTTCTACGTGATAATCAGCTGATTTTATTGGTCCAACTTGAAATAGTAACATTCTATCCAATCAAAATTCAGATAGATATTCAACCAATCACAGTAGACCATTTTACACTATATAAACAAGATTAAGTACACGTTCAAAATTGAACTACAAGCAGATCGATCTCTACAGTACTTCTGCCTACAGTAAATTCCCCCTCCCCGCCTTCAATATGCCTGGAATCATTGCTACTGATGATCGTAAAATTCTACGCAAAATTTTGATCCCTGTTGATGGTACACCAGAATCACAAAGTTCACTGGTTTGGTATGTGAATAATATGAAACGTAAAGGTGACCTGGTTATCTTTCTACATGTGGTTATCCCTGTCCTCCCATCTGCTTTATCTGGATTGTCAAAAGAAAGTGAATCAATGCCAGCTGGATCTGCTTACTACGTACCAGAGAAGAATATGCATGGTGCACAAACTGTATGTCAACATTTAATACACGAAGCACATCGTTATGGCGTGACATCAGAAGCTTGTATACAAGTTGATACAAAACCTGGTCCAGCTATATTGAAAATAATTAGAGAACAAAATATTGATAATGTGGTGATGTTTAAAAGAAATCTTGGCTTTTTTAAACGTGCTATCAGCGGTAGTGTTAGTTCATATGTGATGAATAATTCAAATGTGGCGGTATCAATTGTATCATCAGTGCATAATTGAACGTATACAGACTACTACGGCATTCTGTGAAAAGAAAAGAGAAAAAGCACAGATTATTTTTACTAGATGAGCATTTGAACATTAATGTTATAACTTTTATCTTGTTATTATTATTATTATTATTACCGTTTTAGCTGTTATTCCTAATGACATTAACGTTCCTTCTTTTAATACGAACACATACTGAAAAGCTGAAAGCTAAAACGGATTTTTCTGTTTTTTTTCAATTACAACTCAAGTTTACCTATTACGTAACAATATGGATTATTTTGTTCCTTTGTTTTTCTGTTTTATTTTTTAAATATAAATCATATTTTTTATTTGGATTGAATTGGTTTGTTCTCCTGTGTTTAAGTGTTGTTGGACTAGTTAATCTGTAATATACAATTGTTAAGGTATATTAATATAATCGCTGGTAGTCGGTAGGTGTACGAAGGTACAGTGAGAATCGTCAGTGAGTAAGCGAGTGAATGAGTGAGTGAGTCAGTAATCCCGATTCTAGATCACCGTACCAAGTCATGAGCGCAAACGCATTGTCATTCTTGTCAGGTGCGATATAAGTAGACAGATATTCAATGTGACATCACCCCATATGAATTTGCTTATTAAATATATCACACAGGGTGAAACAGTATGACTTAATGTATGGCAAAGGTTAGAAGACAAGTTATTGTTCATAATATTATTATTATTATTGTTCCCTTGGGTTCCTAGTGGAACATAGGGCTTCAACTGCACACCTCCACTTGCTTCTGTCTTCTGCTGTACTTTTCACCTGAGTCCATGTTATTCCACACTGTTTCAACTCCTCTTCACACGATCTCCTCCATGTCACACTTGGACGTCCCACTTGCCGCTTCCCTTACGGGTTCCACTCGAGCATTGGCCTGACGCGCGATGTCACCCAGCGGCCTCCTCAGCGAGTGTCCAATCCATCTCCACTTTCTCCTGCATATTTGTTGAGCGATTGGTTCTTGTTTTGCCTGGTTGTTCCAATAGTTTCTTGTTGGTGATTCTTTCTGGCCATCTGATCTTCAGTATAGAGCCAGCGAAGACAGCTGTTGATAAAGGTCTGCAACAGGCTGTTGGAAATATTCTTTGTGACCCGCCAAGTTTCTGATCCGTATAGAAGAACTGACTGACTTGACGTTTGTATTGAAAATCCAAATTTTGTTGTTGATGCAGGCTGAGTGACGAAGATTTCCAGATTGGTTTCAGGTTGATGAATGTGTTTCTCGCCTTCCCGATTCTCGATTTAACATCCTCGAATAGTTCTCATTCTTTTTCGTATAGTTGTGTTCTGTGAGCTATGGATGCTTTAGCTGCGAAACTCTCGTCGTCTTAGTAGACAACATTCTCAGCGTATACTTCAGTTTGAAGTGTCCATATAAAAGACCAAATCCCTAAAGATTCTCTATCTAATTGTGTCTATAAAATAAAATACTGCTTGGAATATGATGCGATATACACCGGACAATCCCCAGTAGTAAGAAATCAAAATCAGAAAAAATGAACACCGTAAAGCCGCATCTGTCCGACCACCGAGAATTCCAGTTGAACTAGAAAGGCGCGCGCGTCAGCCAGCCATAGCTCGTCTACATGTTATAGAATCAGATCAGGCCACAAAAGTGATTCTGACAATATTGAAATCATCATCCAGAAAAATTTGAGATATCACAAAGAACGTTTGATATCAGAAGCACTTCATATCATCAAATGGAATCCAAATTGTCTGAATAAGAACGGTGAATTGACACAGAATTTCGCCTGGTCGCAATACTAATTCCTCCCGACAATAAGTGACAAAACCAACACCTATATGACTGATAAGCAATTTCATTATGTCAATACAGGCTGCTTTTATAATTTTATACACTTATCAAATCCAGCAATCTACGCTTGGTTTTGTTATCTTTACCATTTGGCCAACCGGATAACGCCAAAAATGACTCCGTGCTGAGGAACGATGATTAAGTTGGTGAATATAAGATGAGATTTTGTAAATTCTGGTTTAATAATAACACTTTGATAAGGCTATTAGCAACACTAAATATCGAAAGGTCAATAAAAAAATGTAATATCGTTTTGTTTTTTATACATTCATTGGGAAATACAAAAAGAACCTTTATTATAATGAGCCTGTATAACTTCTCCACACGTTTTAATTATCAGTCATGCTTACTTCAACTAGAGAGCTACCTAGTATGTTATCCATATTACTAACTTGATGGCTGATAGAGTTTTAGTCTGCATTAGACATACTACTAGATGCATAATAGTAGTTACTCACTACGTAGTGCTCCATCAAAATATCCAATACAGTCAGCCGACGCACTCCTTCACCTCAATAAGCCAGTAATATGACTGGCAAACAGGGAAGGTTGGGTATGAGGCTAGCAACCTAATCCGGTAAAAATAAACTCCACTGTTGCCGAAACTTCAAGCCTCTAGCTTGAAGCCACCCTGTGTTCCACTGGGAACATAAAGGAATAAAATGATAAATAAAAGTACACTTAGTCCTACAGGAGGTCAACGGTGAGCCCAAATGGTCCAGGTGAAAAGTCTCTGATTACAGTACTGAGTGACGTTGGTACATGAGTTTCCTAAAGGTTATCTTGCTGGCTGGTGAATTCCAGAAATCACCAAACCTAAGTCCAAGGCTTCCTTCCGATCGCCTCCAATCATCTTAATTACTTAAATTTTTTGCATATATCAATGTGATATATTGTAAAAAAAGATAAATATTTATAGTTTACTTAACAATACTACTGATATCACGAATAGTAGAGCATGAAAGTCATGATATATAATACTAATCAGTATAGTTTTATGCAGTGATCATGAATATACGTGATAATATCTTAGTGTTTATATCAAATAAGGTCGTAAATGATGACTAACTAGTTCAAATACTGCACGATTTTAAACATTCATTCATCCAGTTCATCGAGGTTACTTTATTTACTTTCATTCTTATACTTGATGTTAGATAGTTGAAGGCAGTTAGGGGTAAACTATGAACAATGGATTTGAGTTTGCTATATTACTCAGCAATGAAGGGTGTCTTCAACCTCGACGGATATGATCCCCTTTCGCAGACTCGAATTTATGTCATCTATCACCACAGTCAGAGGTGTTACTAGTGCATGATTTGCTCTGTAGTTGAACTTCTATGGGATTGTAATAAAAGTCATATATATTTATTTTGATTACAGCTTGATTCCACACCGTATTTTCAGTAAAAGTATGGAATTTTCAGCATGGATATCGGTAGCCCAAATTTTACAGGCCGACCATGGATATCGGGTGTGCGTCGGTAGGGGATCGAACCCCGGACCATGTGTATGGTCGGCGAGAGTCCTAACCACTGTGCCACCGACGCACAGTTTATTGTGAATAATTATCAGGGCTAGGACATTTAACGCAGTAATTTAATCTTGTGAAGTAATAGTTCCCTTTTATTCCTTTACACATTGGAGCTTCTAATGGTTTACTAATCAGGAATATTTCCATAGACAGTGAAAACTAGTTTGGATGGGAAATTCTGCTATCAGTAATAAAAATAATATCTCAGAGTATATCTTCATTCTATATGTCCAAACCAAGTTCACTTTTAACGGTTTGAAAAAATTTGGGCATTGGGTATATGATATTCATTATAATAAAGGTTTTTTTGTATTTCCCAATGAATGAAAAACAAAACGATATTGTTGTGTTTACTGACGTTCTGCTATTTAATGCTGCTAATAGCTTTATCAAAGTATTATTAAACCGGAATTTACAAAATCTCAGCGTATATATAACAAAGAGTTAGGGGGTGAGAAAATAGACAATTAGGTCAAGTTAAAAGGAGCATATTGAAAGTCAAAATAGCAATGAAGATCACTAAACCAAATAACAAAGGAAATAGTATGTGTGTTATGATATCAAAATAAAGTTTACTAACTTGATCATCGTTCGTCTGTCTAGGGGCATTTTTCGTTGTCAAGTTGATCAATTGGTAAAGATAACAAAATCAAGTGTGGATTGTTGGATTTGATCAGTGTGTAAAATTATAAAAGTAGCGTGTGTTTATATAGTGAAATTTGCTTATCACATTCGTGTTGATTTTGTCACTTCATGGGGGAGGGGGTATTGTAACCAGGTCAGATTCTGTTTTAGTCCATCATTCCTATTCAGGCAATTTGGATTCCACTTGATATGAAGTGCTTCTGGTGATATTAGACGTTCTTTGTGATTTCTGAAGTTTTTCTGAATGATGATTTCAATATTGTCAAAATCAATTTTGTGGCCTGATTCTATAGCGTGTAGACCTATGGCTGATGACTGTTCAGGTTTTTCTAGTTCAACCGGATTTCTTGGTGGTCGAAAAGATGCTCTACGGTGTTTATTTCTTCTGATTTTGATTTCTCTTTAGCGATGTCTTTCCGATGTACATCGCATCAAATTCCAAGCAGGCATTTTATTTTATAGACAAAATTAGATAGAGAATCTCTAGGGATTTGGTCTTTTGTATGGACAAGGTTGCTTTGCAGTGTGTGGGTCTGGGGTTTTGAAGAAAACTCTAATGTCGAGCCGATTGAGTACTCTTCTGATATCGTCTAACGTCTCTGTTCTGTATGGAATGACAACTGTTGATGTCCTTGTTTCGGAATGCGTTTTCGGCCATACTTAATGTCTGTGTTGATTTTGTTGATGAAATTCCATGGGTAGTTATTTTGCTTGAGAGTTTCAGTAATGTTTGATATTTCTTCTTCTTTTTCTTTCTCGTCGGTTATCAGAGAGTGTGCTCGTCTAAGAAGACTTGAAACAACTGAAATCTTTGCGCTGATGGGGTGTGATGATTTGAAGTCTAAATATTTATTTGAGTGGGTTTTCTTCCTAAATATGGATATACTAAAATAAATGTTCGTCTTCCTTTCTCTTAACTAGGCAGTCTTTGTTATATATACTCTGAGATTTTGTAAATTCCGGTTTAATAATACTTTGATAAAGCTATTAGCAGCATTAAATAGCGAAACGTCAGTAAACACAGCAATATCGTTTTGTTTTTCATTCTTTGGGAAATACAAGGAAAGCTTTATTATAATGTATATCTTCATTCACACAGTTATCCATATGCCTGACAAACAAATGTTCACAACAAATTTAGTAGGCAATTATACACATTTTCATGCTAGTGTTATAATGTAGTATACGTATGATTATTTGCTTGATGACACCAAGCATTTCGTCCCCTCTGAGACTAATCAAATTAACTTCGAAAGATATTATTCGACAAGAATATTCCCAATAAGGAACTCAAGACACAGCTGGAAAACTGTTACTTTC